AAGTTGAAATATAGAGTTGATATTGGTTCATAAGTAGAATGTGATGAGAATAGCAAGCGTCTAAAAGGGCCTATGCTATATATTTTTCTTCTCGAGTTATGACGGTTTCGTAGACTTTGCCCGGTAGCTCAGCACAGGGTTTACAATTGCTTTAGGGGCTGACAGGGGTGAAAATTTAGGAGAAAGTGTAAATTTTTGCAGAAAGTATCTTCGTATGAATATCTGTCAAAGGCAGAGTTAAAATTGCGAAAATTCTCTTTCTGTCAGAATTTCTGGCAAGACTATAAAAATCCAGAAGGCAGTATTAAAAAATTTGGCAGAAAGTTCGAAATTTTCAGGATGGAAAAGCTCTCGCCATCCCTTCCCTACTCAGAAATCCTGGCTTAGTGCTTCCAAAGTTATTGATAACAACAGATTGAGAGCATAGGTATAAGATAGCGCAAATACTTAGAGGGTGCAATATCACATCTCTTCGTACGTATGGATAATTTCTACGGTGAGCATCCTTTTTTCTTTGCGTCGTTTGCTTCTGAACTCGTCCAGGAAAGTACTCTAAAAAATTCAGCTCTTGAAATGATCCCAGAGAAAAGTTTATGCTTTTTTAGTGAAATCATGTTAAACAATTAAGCATGAATTTAGGTAATTTTCCGCGATTTCGAGTGAGTTTTGGTGAGCTTCAGCGAGTTTAGATGAGCTTTGGCTGACTTTTGGCTAATTTAAATCTGTCCAAATGCACCAAACTCATAAATCGCTGTTTCCCTCTTGTGTTTTTTACTCGTGCCTGGCGAATCTGGGAGAGTTTTGCTAGTCATCGATTCCTATTTTCAACAATTTTCATTAAGCGCCTGGTACTGTTTAGAAAAAGACTAATAGTGCCAGTACTATAGTACCAAATACTAGTATACTAGGTACGAGCAGAAGTGCTACATACAGTAGATACTCGTTGGTAGTGCTAGCACTTGTGCTTGTACTAATTGTGGCTCTGACAGAAATGCAAGTAAGCAAACTACTTTCCATCGTATCCTTATTTATAGATTTGCTGGTCTTGGATATACTTACTGGTGTATTGCTAACAACGAGTACTTAGCTCTTCTTTGTTGCAATAGTTGTAAAATCATCTAAAAAAACAACAGGTGAGTCACAGCGCAAATTCTTCTCATTATTAACTGATACCTGTCTAATCAGATATACTACTATCAACGCACTTAGAATACAAACAACACAGTTACCTATTAAATCTTTCGTCGTTACTGTCAGAAAAAAGGATATAATGCGGATCATATTTCTTTTTGTACTGATTTGTTTCGCTCGACATGTTTATACCAAAAGATTAGTTACTGTTCAAACAACATATGGTAATGTGCAAGGGTACGAAACAGATTTGAGTCGCGTATTCTATGGTATTCCATGTGCTTAACCACCTGTCGGTCCTTTGAGGTAACTATGTGATTGTATATGTGTATTGTTATGGTTATGCGTATAGATGGAGTCAACCAGTACATATCGGCAAATGGGCTCCATCAACGATTAAGGCAACAGAAACTCCACCTGCCTGTCCGCAACCTGCATGTGATGTTAACGATATCCTTTGTCCTAAAGTTGTAAGTATTATAATGTTGAGAAATAATCAGTGTAAAACCAGGATATTTAGATGTCGGAAGATTGTCTTTATTTGAATATCTTCACTCCATTAAGATGCACATCGTCACATCTTCCTGTGATGATTTTTATTCATGGTGGCAATTTTCAATATAGTAGTGCATCCATAGTGGTCTATAATGCAGATCGTTTTGTCAGCACGACTAATATTGTTTGCGTATTTATTCAATATCGATTGGATGAGTATCTTCTTTTCATCAAAGAAGTATATACCTAACTTTCATATGAAATTAGGTATACTTGGTTTTCTTGCAATAGGCACTGGTCCCAATGATCTCAAAGGCAACTATGGTATATTGGACCAGCAATTGGCGATTCACTGGGTCAAATCGAACATTGATGCATTTGGAGGAGATCCAAATAAAGTCGAGTCGAATCACTGTATATGATAAAGATTAGCTTTCTCATTTTTTTAGATCACATTGTTTGGTCAAAGTGCAGGTGCTCAATCGGTAGCAATACACTATTTGAGGCATGAAATGCAACCATTTTTTCGAGCTGCTATCATTCAAAGTTGTCCTGTGGCAATTCCATTCAGGTAAAATGACAAAATTCGTCTCCTACACTGCTTCATTATTGATCATACGACTAGAACGTACGCACAATACATTACTCCTACTATTCTTCTTGCTCAACAGCTTAATTTTACACTTGGTGGTATCTCATGTTATCGTGCGTCTTCATATCAAGATATTGTTGCAGCTCAAAATGTAATTAATAGCAAAATTACATCATTACAATTTCTACAGTTCTTCGAACCGTGGCTTCCTGTTATTGACAATATAATAGTATGCGGGCAACTCATCGACATGTTTTCAAGTACATCTTTTCCACTTAAGCCACTGATCATTGGTACGATGACTGAAGAAGCCTTAGGTTATGTTTACGGTGAATTGACTCAACCGCTGTCACCCCTTGGTTATCTCACAGTCGGACCGATACTATTCGGTAGCAACTTTTCCGCAATTGCTATGCGCTATCCACCAGAAGGGTCTGGCGATCAGCGTCCACTCTTGGCTCGACTTGTTACTCAATGGGTATTTGCATGTCCAACACGTGTCCTTGCTCATAAAGCAGCTGCCTACTCGTACGTATTTGGTTATCCACTTCACACTATGGGTATTATAAATGCAGGAATTTGTGAGGCTCGTGCATGTCATAGTTATGAATTGCCTTTCTTATTTCAAGCGTTTTGGCTTAATTTTACTAATGCCGATCGATACATATCCCAAACATTGGCTACCTATTGGACAAATTATGCCAAAAGTAAAAATCCAAATCATCCAGTAAAAGTTCCTTTGGCATGGTCAAAACTAGCTTCTCAATCTGAGAAGTATTTGAACTTTACAGATCCAGTCCAAATTACAACAAATTATTTGATGAATGATTGTAACTTTTGGGATGGGATTGGTTACTACTAGGGTGTGTTAGTTGAAAGACTTTTAAATGAAATCAATCAGAAGCTAGCAAGACGCGTTTTGATTACCGCTAAAGCATTCTTATTAATTGCTTAAGATTGAAGGATGTTATAAGTTTAACTCTCCTACTATGTAATATTATCTTTTAAAAGTTTTTGAGGAAACTTCCAAACATTATAATATACATAATATTCTATTATCTGAAAGTTTTCGAAATGAAACTTCCAACAGTAGGGGTATGGGTGTGAGGATGTGGATGTATTTCATGTTAGATAGATTGAAAGCATTATACGACGTTTCGTCCTTGTGAAAAAGGGACTCATCAGGTATGTTTAGTATCTAAAACTACATTGAAAACAAATGTGAAAGTTAAACAGAGCTATATATATTCATATGAATTTTTCAATATCACAGTTGTAAAACTATCGACATGAGTAAATCCAAATGAAAGGAGTTTTAAACAAGGATGTAAGTTGTTAAAAATCATAGTTCATCTAATAGAAGGGTGTGTTTCAAAGAGATAATGTCAAGGTACTCACGAGGGTCGGCTTGTGGTTGGTGTGGGTGCGGAGTGTGGGTGTGAAAAGATGTCTATACGACGGTATAGATATTTCTTCTCTTTACCTTAACCCTTTCCAGCCGGCTACCAGAAGACAGGTAGCAAAAAAATCTTTTCGTGCATTTTTGTTGCTGCTAGACCATGTAGATAGGAAAAGTTTATTTTTCAGAACCAATAAGTGCTTCGTCATCTAATTGCTTGATGTATTCATTTGGATACATCCGGCCACTAGGGGACAAAAATTTTGAAAAACTCATTTTTTTTGTCTGCCAAAATTCAATAGTTTCTGATTTTGTTACATCTATACTTGTAGACGTAACCACAGTTTGTCATGTTTTGCAGGCCAAAGCTCAAATATTTGTAGAATGTTCTGGGGTGTGGGTGCGGGTGTGAAAGAAGACTACACCCACCAATACTCACAAATAATTTATTCAAAAAAGAAAAAGATTCTCAAGCGTCGAAATTGCTCAAAATCAAATGATGGTTTCGAATTTGTTCTTTTCGATCAGTGTTCTGTTTGAAGACAAAGACTACCATTAACCAATAGGAATGAACTAATCAGATAATTTAGATACAAAGAAAACAGAAAAGAAAAGAACAAATAATGTTCAAGTGATTACACATGCATAAAAGCATATTGATAAATCCATATGTGAAAACAATGTTAAAAAATACGATTATGTCTAGATAAAAATTTAATCTGAATAAAAACTATGAATGCTATACTTCATTCACAGAAAAAAATGTAAAAGACTAAAAATTTTGGTTACTCGTTCATTAAATTGATATACCTTACTCTGAGACCATCATTTGATTTTGAGCAATTTCGACGCTTGAGCATCTTTTTCTTTTTTGAATAAATTATTTGTGAGTCTTGGT